ATGTAACAAAGGCGCATAATCACTTGACTCTGAGTTAATCAAAGGGAGTTCTTCCAGGGTGGGCCTGGCCTACTCAAGTATGCCCCTGGCAGAGGCTCAGGAGGAGAGAGACACTCTCCTGCTGGCCTTGAAGAATCCAGCTGCCATGGGTTCTACAGCTTCAAGGAAATGAAGTCTTCTAACAGTTGCATGAGCTTGGGAGAGGACCCTGAGCTTCAGATGAGATGCCATCTCAGCTGACACTTTGCCACCTTGTGAGGAGTAAATTCAGCCATGCTGGGACTCCTGACATGGAACCTGAGAGATAATAAATGGGTGTTGTTCTAAGCTGCTAAGTTTGTGGTTATTTGTTACACAGCCATAGAAAACAAATACATCATTACATTTTAGGGGGGGGGATTAGGTTTTATTTATTTATTTAATGGAGGTACTGGGGATTGAACCTAGGACCTCGTGCATGCTAGGCACATACTCTACTACTGAGGTAAACCTTCCCCTACTCATCATTCCATTTTAAGAAACTACCAGGTGCTGTGTTCTATGTGTGTGTATGAGTGTGTATGAGTGTGTGTGTGTGCGTGTGTGTGTGTGTGTGTACATGGAGAAAAGGAGTGATGGAAGGTGGGGGATGGAGCCAGGTGGGAAGAAGAAAGCTACCCTGGAGGAAGTGATAGCCCTTCTTATGCAGGAGGGTTGCAGCTTGATCAACATGCAGACCTGCCCAGTGCCCAGCCTTGGGGAGCTGGAGGGAGAACATCACCCCCAAAGCCTGGTCTCGGGACCCTCCATCCTAGACATAGGCCCCACTTCCACTGTCTTACAGATGGTGCTGGGGGGCAAATACTTGGAGGAAAAACACATCCTTTGTAAGGATGCAAAGATTTTATGTGGAGAGATAATGAGATGGAATATTTAGCCAATTTTATTTTAAAAATCCTCTCTCCTTTAGTCTTTCCTTTGTTCAAACAGCCAGGACTTCTGTTTTTCATGCTCCAAGGAGAGGATGCCATGGGAGAAAGTGGGGAAAGCAGAGACTTCTTCTGGCTTTGAGGTTTCACCAGCTCAACCCCTTCTGGAGGAGTTGGGGTGCAGAGAAAGGTTTGGGTGGGGACACCGGGGACTAAGAACAAACCTTCCCTGCCTGATTCCCTGAGCTGTCAGAGAAAGGAAACAAAGAGACAGAAGGATCACCAAGAAAGTGGGTGGAGCTCCAGAGAGAAGGAAGCAACACCCCCAAAAGATCTGTGGAATTTGGGAGCAGAAGAGACAGGAGCCTGACCTGTGCATCAAGCCCTGGAAAGGTGGCAAGACCCTGGAGACACATAAGTGTGTAGTTGGCAATTGTCCACACCGCCTGGCCCAACAGAGATGCTCAAACAATATTCGTCAAACAAAAGGGTGACTGCATCATAAGCCCTCTAAAAAACTCTTGGGGAAGACTTTCTGCACCAGCATCGGGAAAGCTGAGAAGGGTCATGCGATCCTGGCTCTGGGGTGAGGACTCAGATTCTGCTCACCTGACAGCTCCCAGGCAAGAGGAGGCCCTGCTGCCCAGATGTGGACCTGGGGGGCCCAGAGTTCTGACCTGACCAGACAAGTTGGCTAAATGTTATGCCTGGGGCATGGTCTCTCCCTGCTGGGCTCCCTGCCTGGGACCACCTGGCTCCTGGCCCTTTGGACTCTGTCTAAAAAGCTTGGAGGGGTGGTTACGTGGCTTCTCAGACCTGAGCCCTTATGGGAGCTGCCGCTTTATGCAGCCGAGCTGAGAAGCAGGACAGCAGCACACGTCTCCTCACTTCTTTCCCCGAGTTAACTTGCCCCAAGGTGTTCACGAGACTCTAGTTAATTAGTCACTGGGCCAAGGGAGCCCCCTTTATCATACTTTGTGTCAAGCCTACCCCCTGGAATCTGAAGAGGTCTTTGGGTGCCGGCAGCACTGATTTTTATCCATTATTTTTTCTATTATGAATGATGCTTTTCCACACTGGAATCAGACAGAGGTCGGCTTGAACCCAGCTCATGAAGACAAATGCTGGTAGTTTTTCTGGGTCCGAGGTGGCTTCTGTGTCATTAATACAACATATTCAGGATACCGCCCATTGCCTGGAAGCTCTGAGGATGTGCAACATTCAAAGATACTTAATTAGAAGGAAAGACACCGGAGGGCTGTAGGCACATTAGAGGACTGTCTGGAGCTGTCCAGGGCTGAGTTCAAATCTCTGTGTGGGACTTTGGGACAAATTTTCACTTTTATGGGCCTTGGGTATCTCACTTGTTTTGACTCCTTATCACTGTTACAAGAGTCAAAGGGTATGACAATCGTGGTACCTGCTGAACATTTTTGTAAGCCAGGTAGTGATTCAGCCACCCAAGACAGGGGTTTTCAGCTGGGGGCCAATTTGTCCCTCAGTGGGCATTAAGCCATGTCTGGAGATGTTCTTGGTGGTCACAGTGGGAGGAGGGGCACTCCTGGCACCTAGTAGGTGGAGGCCAGGCATGCTACTCAACATTCCACAGTGCACAGGATGGCACCCACCACAGAGAACCATCTGATCCCTAAGGTCAATAGTGCTGAGGCTGTGAAACCTGTTTTAAAGCAGTGAATGTTCACCAGCTCAATAAATGGCAAGTTGGTTATAAATAAGAGGGACAGGGGAGTATGTTTTTTTCCACAAGAGGTAAATTAAAAAGATTATTTTTTGTATATAAATTTTGTTATTTATAGGCAATACATCCACATAGTCCAAGACCTAAAAGGTACACAGGATGTATAGTGCAAAGTCTCCCTCCCACTCCATCCCCTTCCTGGAGGAACCAGTGTCACCAATTTCTTTTTTATTTATTTAGAAGTCCTCTATGCATCTATCAGCAATTGTATGCACATATATATATATACACACATATTATATACACATGTACATCACATGCATATGTATACATATGTTACACATATTCTTTGCATCTTGTTTTTGTCACTTAATCCATCTTCTTGAGGATAACTTCCTACTGGGCACAAAGAGCTTCCTCAGTTTTTCTTTTAAAGATGACAGTATGGATGGTCAGATTGTTTCTATTTTCTCTTGTTACAAACACTAATGCAATGAAAATTTTATATGTACATTATTTTACACCAAGCAAATATGTAACTGTAGGATAAAGTCCTGCAAGTGGATTTGCCAGATAAGAAAGTTTGTGTGTTCATAATTATATGGGATGACACCAAATTACCTTCCATTGAAGTGATATCCATTTCCATTCCCTACTAGCAATGAGCATAGGAGAGGAGTTGGGGGTGATTTTATAATTAAAAAAATTTGCTCTCACTGTTTATATCTTCTCATCAAGTGCTTCTGGGAATAAGTAAAAGGTGAGCATGGCTTACAATATTTTGTGCCCATTGTATTCTCAGCATTCAGGGACCCAGAATCTGCCCTTGGGAGATCTTTTAAGTGTTATGAAGTTAATGCCGTTGGGAAGTGTCGTTTGCTTTCTCCAGAAAAGGGCTCTTTAGTTCTTGCTTCCTGGTGCTAATAGTCCCCGAATGACTTGCCTCTCAAAGAGTTTACATGTAGAAAATCTCTCTCAGCACATCTCCCTCTGAATGGTTGCTCAGCTTTGTGTTTTAAGTTTCTGATTCAAGGGCCCCTTTGAGAGTCTGGTGGAAGTGATGAAATCCTCTCCCTGTAAAAAGGCACCAGCAGTTTGCCTATCGTGTCAGAGGTTCCTGGAGCTGCCCTCAGACCCCAGTGAGTGGCTCTCTGGGTTGGGGTAAGGCTCATGTTGCCAGCACCCTCCGTGTCACTTGAGGGAGGGTCTGCAGATTCCTGGCTCAGAAGTGGGCAGAACCAGCTCCATGTGACAAAGCCTGGGTTGGTCCCAAGCCTGGTTCCAAGCCTGGCTTCTTCCTTCCCACTCCCTGGCTGAGTGACTGGTCAGTTACTCAGCCTTGCTGAGCCTTGGTTTTCTCATCTGTGGAATGGGGACAACACTTGCTTTGCAGTATTATGCTGGAGAGAACGGAGGCAAAGCATTGGCATGGAGCCTGGCCTCAGGCTCACATTGGAGAAATGGAAGCTACTGTTAAGTCTTATTGTAATAAAATCCTTTGCATCCCAATGGCTTCCTTCTCTGCCTCTCTTTTAGATTGGACTCTCTTTATTTGCTTAGTGGTGACTGGGATTCTGGAACAGTCACATTCCTTCCTGCCACAGAGACCTCGTACATGCTGTTCCCTCCACTTGGAACATTTTTCCTTCCTCTGGACTCCTAAGGTCTCTTTCACTTGCGGGTCATCTGTCTCTTCTTCAGAGAGCACTTGCCTGCCTCTCTGACTTCAAGTCAGTTTGCCCTTGCTGTCTTCTCCCAGAGAAGCTCTCCCTTTTTTGTGCCTCTCTTACTTGTAATGACATCTATTAGCATGTTAGCTTGTCTAACATATGTCCCCCTTGTTGGACTACAAGCTCCAGGTGAGCTGGGGGGCCAGCTTGGGCAAAGGCCCTGAGGCAGGTGGGGGCTGGCTGGAGGCACAGGCTGTGGGGAACTTTTAGGCCACCAAAAGACAAAATTTCTCTTCAAAGAGCACTGGTGTCCTTCCAACTTGCCAGTATTAGGTAGGGGAGTGACCTGGTCTAATTGAGTTCTATAAACATTAATGTCTCATTATTTTTATAAAATTCTTTAAATTTTTTACTTTTAAGAAAGATCACTGGCCACGGTGTGAAAGGCAGGGTGAAGGGTGGGCGGGCGTGGACATCTGGGAGATTCCTTAGGAGGCTGCAGCCATGGTCCTCATTCTGTCTGCAGGCTGGGGCTCCATAGCCCTTGGGTTCTAGAAACAGCCCTGCACATCCCTGGATATTCTAAGCTAGTGCTTCTTCTAGGGGGTGACCCCGAGTGGCATGGGCTGCTTCCCCAGAGCCGACTGAGAATTGGCTGTTTCAGGGAACGAGGGATGCTGGGCTCTCGCTGGCATAGCGGGCTGGCTGAGGGGTGGAGCTTACCCGAGATGGTAGTGAAGTGGGATGGGGAAGTCATTGTCACGAAGGGTGGCATGAGATACTTGGCCTTCACGCCCTCCCGGGCCAGGTGGTCCATGTTGGGAGTGTCCACGTCCTGATCATAGTCCCAGAGGAACCCATCGAAGGAGATTAACAGCAACTTGTGGAAGCTCTTCCTCCCTGGGATGGGATGGCAGCTGGCCCAGCCCAGCAGGACGGTCAGCAGCAGGGTGAGGGCCCCAGGCCCCGTCATGTCACCAGAGCCTCCCACACTCACATCGCCGAGTTCACAGCCTGCTCCCATTTTCTCCCTTTTTTATCTACGGTTAAGCAAAGTCCAAATTGATAATTCTGCCTTAGCTCTGTTGTGGATCAGAACACCAGGAGCGTAGCAAGATGCTGTGTTCGACATGATGGAAAAGTTCTGGACAGATGGTGATGGTGGTTGCACAAGACTGTGAATGTACTAATGCTACTGAACTGTGTACATTAAAATGGTAAAAAATGAGGGGGCAGATATAGCCCAGTGGTAGAGTGCATGCTTAGCATGCATGAGGTCCTGGGTTCAATCCCAGTACCTCCACTGAAAAAAAAAACAACAACTTAATTACCTCCCCTCCCTCTCCCTAGAAAGACAAATGAAAAAACACAATGATAAAAAATGCTGAATATTACCTATATTTTATGACAATAACAAAAGGCAAACCGTGTGAATATTTTGGACTTTTATACGAATTACACTGTTGTGAACATTTGGAGAGCAAATTATGTTGGTGCTTTCCTTTGCTTAATATAGCCTGTTTTTATAAGGAGAACAAATTACTGTTCATTATGAATATGAAAACAGCCACCATGGATTGATTGCCCATGAGGACTGGGACTTGTATATACAACATCTATTCTATCCCATTCGATATTTTTTAAAATCCTACAAAGGTTGTTAGTTGAAAATTCCCCATAAGAATAAAAAAATTATTGTGATCAAATGCACGTAAGATAAAACTTACCATTTAAACCATTTGAAAGTGGATGGTTTCAGTGACATTTAGCACATTCACAGTGCTGTGCAAACAGTGTCACTATCTATTTTCAGAATATTTTAATCACCTAAAAAGGAGACCATTAGCAGTCACTCCTCCTTCCTTCCTCCCCCAGTCCTCAGCAACCACTAATCTGCTTTCTGTCTGTTTGATTTACTTATTCTGGATTTTTCATTTAAGTGGAATCATACAATATCTGGCCCTTTGTGTCTGGCTTCTTTTACTGAGCATAATGTTTTCAAGGTTCATTCACATTGTAGCAGGTGTCAGTGCTTCATTCTATCGTATGGATGGACCACATTTTATATGTCCATTCACTGCCTAATGGACATTTGGGTTGTTTCCACATTTTGGCTATTGTGAATAATGTTGCTGTGAACATTTGTGTGTGAGCTTTTGTTTGAATACCCTCTGCTTTCCATTTGATTTTTACAACATATCTTTTACTTTGTAGCTGAAAAACAGCTCAGAGAGGCTATGGAACCATTCCAAGTTCACACAGTGGAAGTGAGGCCAGGACTGTAGTTTCAATACTTGGCTACATGCTTGCTGAGCACAGGGGGTTAAATTCCTCAAGGGAACAAATTGCTTTGAACAGGCTTAAGCATCTACCTGTCTACCCCACATTTATTGAGCACATACTATGTGCTAGGTGTCAGAGACACAGAAGTATAGATGCAGTTTGCCCATGAGTTTGCTCAGAGTCCAGGGGACAGGCAGACAAATAAAAGGTGACATGTGATGGAAAGGCCCTGCCAGAGGTGCATGTGGGAAGAAATGTGGGAACACAAGAAGAAGGTCCTAACCAGAAGCCGGGCAGGGGAGGGCTCCCTGGAGAAGGTGGTGCCAGACTTTTGCAGGCTGGGAGGAATTAGCCTGTTGGAAGCATCACTTAGCTGCTCTTTGGATATGAAAACAGTCTCCTAACAGATCTGTCTGTGGTTGCTTCCTACGGGTACATGGGTGACATTTAACTTCACAGCTTTAGAAATATCTGTGAATTGTGTAAAGATGTCACCAATGGGTTTTCCAGTGACAAGAAGTGACAATCTACCCAGGTTTTCAGGTGAAGTTTTTGGAAGGTTTATCTTGATGTGGGTGGAATGTGGGCTGGATATCAGACCCAGAAGAGATGATCCATTTTGCCCTTCCTGAAATTGCCTGAGGATTCTGTTTCAGGTATTCACGTAGGTTGAATTTTTGGGATGAGGAGGTGGTGTGTCAGGGGAGCTCCGTTTTGTATTTGCATAGCTTGGCTTCTATTAGCTAGCATGGCGTTTTCCTACACGAGGGGATTCTGTAGAAGTTTGTGATGAGTATGCAGCAAAGTAGTTGAGAGTGTTTTGTAGCTTGCAGGCCTGGGCTTGCGTCTCTCTGCCATTTACCATCTGTGACACTGGGGGCAAGTCCCATAACCTCTCTGTGCCTCGGTTTCCTTCTCTGTAAGGAGTAATGATATATTTCCTGAGGCTGTGAGGCTCCAGTGAGATAATTGGCAGGAAGCCATCCATGGGCTCCCTGTCACTTCCCAGCCTCCTTGTAATCCTGGCCCATGTGTTGTGATGGGAAGCCACGTGTATCACTTCCAGACTGAAGCTTTCAAGGGCTGGTGCATAACCATCTCACCCTGTCTCTTCCACAGTAACTGTGGAAGCTTTGTGTTGAGATGGTAGAATTTCCATCATTCTGTATCCATGAGTGACCATATTGCTACGTAGTCCCCAGCTAACCCAATAGAGAAGTGAGAAGTCAGCCATTGTTGCCAAGCCACTGACATTTTAGGGTTCATTTGTTACTGGGGCACAACCTAGTCTATCCTGGCTAATGCAGTAGGATTGGTCCTTGGTACTGTAAATAGTCAACAGATATTGCTTTTAGTACGATAATAAACTGCCACTGATAGTTTTGTTATCAGATCTGATGATGCCAATAATGCTATTTTGTGCTTGAACAAATTGGACTTGGCACTCCTTCCAGCATGTGGGAAGGACAGATGATTGAGGGCCAATAAAACATTATTATCTTTAGTTTATGTCCCTGGTTACCCTTGGTGGCAAAGAACAACGTATGATACTCTGAGAAAGCCAGGCCTGGAGGAGAGCTGCTGTTGGTACCAGGATCAGGACTGTCCCAGACTGAGCATTCTCTAGTCTGGAGAGAACCTTGAGTACCTACCTGGTGTGTGGATGTTTTGAGAGAATGTGAAAACTTGTACTAAGTGGTTTGGCCCTTTGGGAATTGCATGTTAATCACTTAGGCCGTTTTAGGGACAAGTCACACATATCTCAATATTTTGGAAACACGGGAAAAATAACCAGCAGTCATGCAACAATCCACCATGTCCACTGAAACTCGCCCAAAGTGCAACATTTGATGTAATCAGCAGAGCTTAGCGGAGGTCGTTAGAGAGGATTCTCATTGTAGTCACTGTGATGCTTATGGTCACAGCATTGTAGCGTATCTTGGTTTCTCTTTGGTGAGTTCTGGTTTGGAAGGCTTCAATCCATCATCTGTTTTGGCAAATATTTATTGAGCATTCTGGATGGGGTGGAGGATGAAATATAGAGGAGAGAGTCAGTCCCTTCCTGCTGCTATGTTTTCAAGCTGTCCTTGTACTCAGCTGTGGCTCATGCAGGCTTGAGGGTTCCACAGTTTCAGAAGCCTCTCCAAACCATGCCACCCTGGACTAGATTCTTCTTTGCCAGTCCAGTAGTCATCTCTGACTCTTACTGTCTTTTGCATGGCTGTCATATCAGTCATGGGGAACTGTTATGGAGGTGCAGTGCATTTTGTGAAACTTACGGTTGATCAAGAACACCACTAAACTTTGTTAAAAAATCTACATACTTTTGACATAATCACTGGAGTAGAGATGGGGAAATTTCCAAACACATTTTGGGAATCATCCCAGCAGAAGTTAATATTCAGAACTCTTGGTTTCAAGTGACAGAAACCCACATCTTACTACTGTAGGTAAGAAAAGGGATCATACTTTAGTCTGGTTTTCCCTTAAAGCAGACCCTGAGACAAGGATGGGAGCACAAGTGGTTTATTTGGGAGGTGACCCCAGAGAGCACCAATAGGGGCATAGGGAAGTGCTTCAAGGAAGGGAAGGAGGCTAACATGGGGTGCATGCAGTACTAGAATGGTGAATACCAATCGGCTATGGACATGGCATCTGCAAGAGTCCTTTTTGGGCATAATTTCCCAAATGTCATGTCATTGAAACCACTTTGCAAAAAGGCAGGGATACAGCTGGGCTCCAGGAATCAGGGACTCACACACCACCAGATCTCTCTCTGCATCTCTGTGTCTGCCTTTGTTTACATATCACTTTAATTTTCTCTCACTCAGGATTGGCTTTTTCCATAAGGTGAGGAATGTGGCCACAAATGCTCCTCTTTGTCTCATTCCACAGTTCCTGTTCATCACAGAGCATGATTATATTTTTCCACTTCCACCTAGGAAAAACAAATCTGAGGGAAAAACAAATCTGAGGGAAGAAATCTGATTGGCTTGTTTGGGTCGGATGCCCATCTCTGGACCAATCAACTGTGGCCAAGGGGGCGGAGTCATGTAAGAACATGGTAGCCCCCACTAGAGCCACATGACTAGGCTAGGAAGAAGTGGGAGTCTCAATAGCAGTGGGGGGTCATTAGGCTGAAAAATAAGATGTTCATGATGAAAGGAAAGGATTAGGAGATGCATCCTGTTAAATTTGTTAATGATTGGGGCTTTAAAGATTTTTTTAAAATACAAATTTTCACTGTGGTTCTCTCAGCATGATTTAGCAGAAAAGAAAAACCTGCCATGAGCTGAACATTTCCTATGCACAGACTGTTGCTGTGGATTCAGATACTTACTGATTAATCCAAAGATCAATTACAATGCTTCTCAAGGTATGTGAATTCTGATAGGGTCCGCTTATGATGGCGCTGAAGTCAAGCAAGAGAAAACTGACATGTAGGACACTCTAATTTCTTTCTTCCGTTGAGTGCTGTAGAGTTGAGGTTCTGCCTTGCCATGGATGCACCTTGAGGGACGGTTGCATATAAGAGTATGTGTATGAGTGTGTGTGTTAGGTATTTTCCGAAGATGAGTGCAACATCCCACAAATGCCCTTTTGAAGTGTAATTGCAAATTCTTCATCAAGAGGTCCTCTGACTTTCCTATGACTTGCTTTGACCAATAGAATGCGGCTCAGGTGATAGTG